TTTTTTCTCCTGAGCATGCCGGGCTTGTGTTTAACATGCAGTTGTTAGCTGGGCTTTCATATATATTTTTTTCTTTCTATATTTAGATGTCTCTTAGCACAGTCCTGCAAGAGTTTGCTGACATTCAGAAGCAGCAGAAAATTGTTAACAATTTAACAGATAAAAGGGAATGGTGGGAAGGACGCACAGCTCTGGATGGTCGCATGAAGGTAAGAATGATGTGACTGACTTCTCTAATATGTATTCCAGAATCCTGCTGCACTCCTTACCGGGTATACCGGTCAGCGTGGGTCCTTGAAGTGACCGCGGATGGTGCCCCCAATACTGAAACTTGTAAACTTCCAAGATAAAATCCTCTGTGAAAAAACTCCTAACCCTTATGGGCAGACACTCCAACTGATATGTGACTTCTTAGATAAGGAGGTCTTGTGTGCGGTCAGAACCCCAAGCAAAGACTAAATGTTCCAGGTCTCCTTATCTGAATCAGTCATCCTCGTTGCATATTACCCCACACCCAGCCAGTAAGAAAAAAGTGAAGGCAGGAGCTCATAGTGTAAAATACTCTTCATATAGTCATCTTTGTGGATTTTGATACTTTGTTCACCGCTTATGTTTTTTTTTGCAGTTATGGTTTGTTGTCCAGCTAATATGGCAGTTGAAAGAACTATGGGGTAACCCTTTTTTTCTACCATAGTTCTTTAGGGTCACGGGAGGTCATATACTAATGTCCTCCCATGACCCAAAGCCCATTATATAGCAGGCTATTGCCCGCTATATGCTGAGAGCGCCAGAGCTGGGACTGATCCTGACAATACTGATCCTGACAATCCACCCACCCAACTGACTGACAGCGGACTCTGCCCATCTAGAGGGGCAACATGCCGGAAGTGGGCTCATCCAGATCCATTAATTGGTTGACGGCAGCCATATGACTTCCTTTCTCCCAGCTATTTTTTATGGAGCCATAGTTGAACCAAGCCTAAAGCAGCAGTATGTGACTACATGCACGGGTATAGTGATGGGAAAGTTCATAAGCAGGAGTGTAAACGGCTTTGATATCAAGGTACCATGTGTAGACAATTCCTGCTCTGCCATAGTTTCATGCAATGTTTTAGTACAATGGTACCATGCTGGTGATTGTTTTTTAATGTATTAATAATTTTCCTGTTGTACACAGGCTTTAATACAGTCACTTGAAGAACAGGTCTTGGGTTGTTGGAAGGTCCTTTTGTCACCTCCCTGCTCAGCTCCTGCTCTGGAGGAAGAAGCCCGGGTGCTTTCAAAGGCTCTTGTAGTCTGTGGTTGGAGGAGGGCAGATCCAGGACTTTTGAAGGTAATTGTGGATAGTGCTAATTTGTCATTAGACTAACAAGGTTTTGTTTTCTGGTTAAAACGATGATTACTTTTAAATACATCGTTTTTTAGAACTGTGATTGAACCCTTCAAGCTTGTTCTGTAACATTGTGTAAAAGCAGAGCGTGTGCAGATCCCATCACAAGCAAACTAGTGTTGCATATGTTTTGCAGAGATTTGGTAAAATATAATAGAGAGAACAGCAGGAAGGTCTTATTTAGGACTATTTAGCTGTAAGCAGGCATTTTATAAAAGAAAAGACTTTTAATAAGGGCCCATTCACACCTATATGTTAATGCATGTCATGCATTACAGAACTGATTGTTGACAATACTAGTGCATAAACCTGCCCTCTTTCTTTTTTGGGGGGGGGCGGTCTGTGTTCTCATTGAGGAGGTTGAGCCTCTCCATTTATCCAGACATTCACTGGCATAGAAAGTGGTAGGAAATCCAAATTTTCTTTAACAAAGCACAATAAGATGCCAGAGTAAAAATTCCAGCCAATCAGGAAAGAAGGTATGTTGTCCTAGAATCTGGGTGGACATATTGCACACAAGCGCATATTGCAGCTCTGCTCATTTGACTTCTGTAGGTAGAATGGCTTTTTATAACTGCTGTCTACGTATTGCTAACTGTAACAGGAGACAGGGTGCCATAAGGACCTTAGAACAGCCTTCATGAACAGGTACTGTTAGATGGGATTTCATAGGGAATAGATAGTCACTCTAGTTTTGCCAAATGTGGATAATATGCATTGTTAAGCTACTACGGGAAAGGGACTGGTGTGAGTTGTCCAGATTCTGGCAGATCCTGTTACTTCTTTGAGATTCAGCCATTGTGTGCCCTGAAGCTGCACACTTTGTATGTGTAAACCTTTTTAGATGTAATCCCTATTTGGAAGAAATGAAGCACTAGAATGCTTGGTGTGACATAGATAAAGCAATTTGTTTTCACCCTTTTAAAAAGACAACAAGGGCACCTTTCGAGCTGTTTAGTAATGGCAATCTACAAACACATATACTTCTAGATAATTGCCGGCATTGTATAGATGAGATTTCCCAGCAATGCACTGGTGATGCAGCCTTCCCAGGATGCATCTGTTAGGCATCAGTAATGTAATCCTGCCTAAGAGGGTGAGGAAGTGGAAAAACAATAATTGTAAGTAAAAGCAAAATATGTTTAATGAATGTATAATGATTTCATATCCGCATGCAGAGCTTTATGCTGATGTGATTTGCAATGACGGGGTGAGGTCCACTTTAATGCATTTAACTTTTTGTGCATTTTAACCATTTACTTCTGTTAGGTGAAAGGGTTGCAGGTAAGGCTGCCCAAGTATTACATTTGATTTAATCTATGCAACGTGGTTTTTTAAAATGTCTTTATTGAAATCTCCTGGCATTCTCTTCTCTTTTAAACACTTACAGGCAATCCTGCAAGGCTGTCACCACTTAACTGCCCAACAAATCCAGTTTATTGCCCAGGGGTTCAGTGCCCCCAGGCCAGAACAAGCTCAGGAGCTGCTTAATAAATCTATCGATAAGCTGAAATCTAAAACTGAACATAAAGAAGGACATCTCATTCTTGTACTGGATAAGGTGGATACTTGTTCTTGTTTAAAATTAAATGTTTCATGTAGTGAATTTGTAAAAAGAGAAAGCCTGAAACTAAAATAAACCAGTCAAGGCCTAAAAAGTGTCTAAGGTAAAAACACGTAAGAAGTCCAAGATCATTTATTGCGGTTTTCACAAAGTACTCTACTTAGAAAGAAACCATTGTGTTTTGTGGGCACGGGCATCCCCCTGCAGGCTGCTTCAACTAGCTGCTGAAAGTGTCTCATACCAAGTGTATGTATTTCCACTTTTTGCAGCGTAACTGGGATAACACTTTATATTCACGTTGCATAACTTTAAAAAATATATTTAAACATTGCTGCCTACTTTTTGAGGTGCTTTTTACCTTTTATAAAACGGCCTAGTTTTCCTTTATGTAGTGTTAGGATGGGGGCTGTGGAATAAATGTACAATAATTAACCCTTTCTGCACAATGCTGTCAAATCTCATAATTTCAACACTCTGTCCTAACAAAGGGTTGAAAATCTCAAGTCTGGATTATGCATTGCATGTTAATGAGGAGAAACTGACACTGTCCCCACTTTGTTTCTCTGAAATTGTTCAGAATAGCTTGTAGATCTGTGTATTCTGCTCCAAAGTAACCTTTTTTTATTTTTTGGGTAATGTGTGAATGGACACATAACAAACACATAGTGGGGTTTTCTCAAATGTAACTGAAAAAGTGGAAATACACTTCATTACAATTCTTACTTTCCAGTTCTTTTTCCATCTCATCGCCCTGTACAGTGTACAGAGCCCTGATTTAGGGGGACTCAAATATGCTTGGCTTTTATCTGTTACGAACACTGAGTAAATCATTTTGGACTCCTTACTTTTGGTATGGCGCTCTGTTTGTCTCCAACTACTTGCAGTCCAGTTTAGGTGTCTTTGGAAGACTCTTCACATGTGTGAGCAGCATATCAAGCATCTGTGCATTCTTCCTGGTTCATTCCACATTACAAAGTGAGAGTTAATACACATTGGTTCCAGCAACTCTACATTACACATCCCTAAGGGTAACAATACCGCTGATGTGTAGGCATGTATCTTTTTAGTCTTCAAATTAATTATTGTGCCCTTTTAAGAACTCTCCTGTATTCGAGGCCTATGCTCTGCACAGGACCACAACTCCTATGTTGGACCTGAACACTGACCCCTGCCACTTAAGGTTCTGACATTTTGTCCGTGAAATTCCAGTTGAAATAGTGCCAGAGGTGGGCATGGACCTTGAATAGAAATGGAGACCCTTTGCACAGCTTGCTCTGGAATCCAAGGTGTGCAAGAACTGGCTTGAAGTTCTTCAGCTTGTTATCTTGGAGACCTTTTTGGCCTTGACCTTTCCACTTTATTCCTACTTTAATAAAATGTATCCTAACTTTTGTTGTTTTTGTCACCCAACAATAGCACCTTCAGCAACTGCCCTGGGAGTGTATGCCCTGCTTGCTGACCAGATCAGTCACTCGTCTCCCATCTCTGCATTTCCTGCTCAACTACAACCTCCTTAGAAAGGTGTGCTGCTGATTTTTTTTTTTTTTTATTCTTTATTTTGAGCCAACATTTTACAGTAAACATACAACACATACACAATCGAAGAATGAGGATGTACATATACAGTCTTAGCGAGTATAGCTATATCGTCTAGCCCCAATCGCTTAATTGGCCAAGGGCAGATAGTAACAGCATAACATCATATGCAACACCCAGGCATTTGGAGGGATCACAATGTACATCTTGTATGTCGTAGTGTATGATAAGCCCTGGTTTCGATAGGTTTTAGAAGGGCAAACCACAGGGTCCACCTATCTACTGCCAGGAGCTGCGGGGAGGGATAGGACATTAGGCAACATCAGGACAGGAGGGGGATGAAGAAGGCAGACAGACTAGGGGGGGGGGCAGGACCAGTAAGCAAGTGTGTAAGAGGAGGAACAGGTCAGCGGGACATGGGAAGCCTATTGATAGGGTCACACATTGGGCTCTCTTTCGTGAGCCATTTAAAGGGAGGAGATCATGCAGAGTATGCTCGGCCCTCAGGGGAATCCATGTACTCCAACCAGTAAAACCATGTCCTAGAGTAACGTTCCTGTCTATCCTGGGAAGACAGAATCATGTCTTCCATTACCCTAATCTCCTCCACCCTGTGTATCCACATAGATATGGTAGGGGAAGAGGGATTCTTCCAAAGACTAGGAATGCAGGATTTAGCTGCATCCAGCAAGTGACGCACTACAGATCTGGAGTAAGCTTTCTGGGTCCAATGGTAAGTCAGAGTCCATGAACTTTCTCACAATGTCGCGAATCGTTGACCAGAAGTGTGCTAAGGCTGGGCAGGACCAGAAGATATGGAGTAGAGTCCCCCTGTCTGCATTACATCTCCAGCAGGTATTGGCAACTCCGCCATACATCTTCTGTAGGAGCTCCGGTGTTCGATACCATCTCGTAAGGATCTTATAATTAGTCTCCTGATATTTAGTACAGATCGATGATCGCATAGTGAAATGGATAATAGTGCTGCTGATTTTTAATATCTTGAATCTTGTCTAAAACCTGAATACATTGAGGGAAATGTGTATTTTCCTGCACTATAAAAACACTCAATGGCAGATTCATAAATCTTACACCCAGCATACAGCTGGGTGAATGGCATTTGCCCAGTACTACAGTAACTAGATGGATCCACGGAGCATAGGAAATTCTTACCCTCATCACCGCCATCTAGTGGCGGTAGTGTCATGCGAATGCCAGTCACCCAGCTATATGCAGGGCGGAAGATTTATGAATTGGCCCCTCAGTGTTATTAGTCTGCCTAGTTTGTTTGCTTCTAAATTCTCCTAATTTCTGGCATTAAGAGCCTTGACTTGTTAAGTCTCTTCCTTCCTGCAGCACCAGCCTCAGAGCAGCCTTGTTCGCGGGGTGGATCCTAAGAAAACATTTTATGTCCTGAATCCCCATTCAAATCTACCGGGCACAGAGGAACGATTCAGGGATTGGTTTAAAAAGTGAGTGTTGCCTTTCTGTATCTTAACCAGTTAAGTGTAGAATGGATCTCCACGGAAAAGGTTTTTCCACCTTTCTGTAGAAAAGTTAAAACCTTTTTTTTTATTTTTATTTTATTGGAGGGAGTTGTGTCTAATGTTAACTGCAGGGGATTTGGGGAGGCGGAGGAGCTGGGTCAGGACAGGGTAATCAGACTATCCCAGAAGAAAAAGCTATGATGTGCAAGAAAGAGAGGTGGCTTTTCTAGGAAACTGAGTCTTCTGACGCAGTCAGATTTGCTAGCAAGTTTAGAGGTGCGATGCTAGTCAATAATAACTTTCTAATACATTTTTGTTTTTTAATCAAAAGGAAAACCAATGAAATTAAGCATTTTAAATACTGTCTGTGCTTTTACCTGCATTTTTTAATTTGGTGACGAGCTCCATCTAAATCTCTCCATTTAGGATGATGATTCAGTAAAACTGTCTTCAGATTACTTTACATTTTGTACTCTTGTGCTGTTCACCTGAGAAGCTTCTATCTGTTTTGTAGTGAACCTGGATGGACAGGAGTTGTCAGATCTTCTCCAAAGTCGGAAGATCTCCAGACCGCTCTAACAAAACAAGATCTTTATATGTGAGTATTTACTTTTGGAATGTGTTCCGTAGTCTGGACACAACTTGATCTGGTAGGTGTGAATTTGTTGGCTGATGTCCATCTGTTCTCTTTATGTAGTTATGTGGGCCATGGAGCAGGTGCACATTTCTTGGATGCACAGACTCTGCAAAGGTTGGACTGTAATGCAGTGGTGTTGCTGTTTGGATGCAGTAGTGCTGCTTTGGCTGTCAGGAGAGATCTTGAAGGCGCTGGTCTAGTCCTGAAATACTTAATGGCTGGATGGTAAGTCTTACAACTATTATGTCCTTGAGATTAGCATGGAAGAACATTTCACAATGTTACAATCTACTCTTCCAGGTTTGTGCAGCTTTTGATATGGCGATTCCTTCCAAAAAAACAGGACTATTAGAAATGTCATTGTTTACCAGTCATGTTTGTTAGAAATATTGCATGACTAACCAGTGTGTGGTCACTAGTGAAAGATGAGCTAACTAGTAAGAAAACATGTTGAAGGAGGAATATAGGGAAGTAAACATATTTGTATTACAGTGATTGTTCTAGGTTGTGTATTTTTAAGGCTGGAGATGTATTGGTACAGGTAAAGTTTCCATCTACTAGTGAAGTCAGTTGTTGCCTAACACCCAGAAGCATTGAAGGGTATGTATGTCGCTGTGCAGGTTGCAGATTTACTTTGCCTCACAACTAACATTGCTTCTGAGTTTTTAGCAACAAATGCTTCTGGATGGAGAGGCTCCTTTGAGACAGATAATGGCTACCCTGACAAGTTTCCTTTAAAATCTGTTCTAGTCCTGTTTCCATCCCTGCTAAAGTGCTATGGTAACAACCAAGCACTATGCCTAGTATGTTGGAGCATCTGGTGTGACTGCACAGCTGTCCTTAACCAACTTTGAACATTACTGTAAGTGACACCAAACTCTTCTACAAATTATATCCACATTCGGGGGAGCCTGATATGGAGGTATGGCTTAGCTTATAAGCATGGTAGTTACAAGTGGTTGGAGCTCAACACTATTCTCCAAAAGTGCCCTAATCCTTCATTACTAGAAAGAGACATTTGTCCATAACATGTGTTCCCCTGAATTCACCAGGCATGACTTCTGTGGACTTGAATCAGTTGTAAGCCTATTTTTGGTTCTAAAATGGAAGTATTTTCATATACATAATACTGCTCGAGTAAATGCTATATGTATAACTTTATTTCTTTTATCTAATTCTAGCCCTATGGTAGTTGGGAACTTGTGGGACGTCACAGACCGAGAGATTGACCGATACACGGTGGCGTTCTTACAGGGTTGGTTGAAGGCAGGGCCCGGTGCCACGCTTCTGAAGTACTTATCGGAGTCACGACAGGCTCCAAAACTCAAGCATATAATTGGTGCAGCTCCTGTGGCTTATGGCATACCTGTGGCCCTTCAGTGACTTTAACTCTAATTCAGCACATTGTACAGAAAAATGTTTAGAAGTGTTGCACGTGGAAACGACTCCAATGCTGTTTATACAACTACAAATATTTTTCACTTTTTTTTTTTTTTTTTATGACTGCAGTATATGTTGGTGCTTTTTTAGGAGAAAAAAATGCTCTGGTATTTGAGCATTAAAGCTTGGAAGTATCTAACCTTCAAAGGAATCTCCTCCTAATTTTGTATTTTAGCAGCTGAGATGCCCCAATGAAGCTCTGGTGTGATTTAAGAATATATTTAATATTATATGAAAGTTCCGATGTTAAAATGTTTTAAGACTCGTCCTCTGGAGAAAATGAGGGTTCAGTATTTCTATGCACAACGTCACTCAGGTTATTCTTTTTATATAATTGTATTGTAAATATATTTTAGCCACAGAGGTTTATAAAAATAGCCTTTCTAATGCATGAGCAGTGTGTGTATGTAAACTATTAACATGGATAATAAAGAGGAGTTTTCTGTTTTTTTTGTTTATTTCTTGTGGCTGCAAATGTTTTCATGTCAATTTTATATTACTCAATCGCAAAGGTTTCGGAAGTACCGCACAAGAGAAAAACTCAGTCCTTGACAATCCAGACAATTGAAAGAAATCTGGTGGACTGGGACTGAACAGAGGGAGAGGAAGAACTTTCCTAAAAGTCTGAAACTACCTTTTATAATTGTATACAAGAAAGATAGAGAAAAGCGGGGCTTTTAAAGTGTCCAAACCATACGAAATGTCCATCAGAACTACATGATTTTGTATTAAAAAAAATAGATTTTATTACATTAAAATAAACATGATTAGGCTATGCTATGTTTTCTGATCTTATGCACTTTGCAATTTATATAAATACTATCCATTTATTTAATTATACTTTTTTAAATTGTTTTTTTCCTTAGGGGCAGGGGGGTTACCATTCACAGTTTATGTGATTATCTTATTAGGCACATTTGTAACACCAGTACATTTCACCATGGGCTGTCATCACTTGAGATTATTCAGTATTTGCATAATGACAATAATAAAATGTATGATTTATTTTTGGAAGATCATAAGCCAAACTACACTTTGAGTCAGATGCATGCCAAAGGGTCTCTTATTTGACACATGATTTGCATGTTTATGTGAAGATACATATATTTTTGAATAAGTTTATGATATTTTGATGTGTTGAGTATGTTCTATATGGTTTGCTATTTGGCAATATATTTAATATTATATGAAAGTTCCGATGTTAAAATGTTTTAAGACTCGTCCTCTGGAGAAAATGAGGGTTCAGTATTTCTATGCACAACGTCACTCAGGTTATTCTTTTTATATAATTGTATTGTAAATATATTTTAGCCACAGAGGTTTATAAAAATAGCCTTTCTAATGCATGAGCAGTGTGTGTATGTAAACTATTAACATGGATAATAAAGAGGAGTTTTCTGTTTTTTTTGTTTATTTCTTGTGGCTGCAAATGTTTTCATGTCAATTTTATATTACTCAATCGCAAAGGTTTCGGAAGTACCGCACAAGAGAAAAACTCAGTCCTTGACAATCCAGACAATTGAAAGAAATCTGGTGGACTGGGACTGAACAGAGGGAGAGGAAGAACTTTCCTAAAAGTCTGAAACTACCTTTTATAATTGTATACAAGAAAGATAGAGAAAAGCGGGGCTTTTAAAGTGTCCAAACCATACGAAATGTCCATCAGAACTACATGATTTTGTATTAAAAAAAATAGATTTTATTACATTAAAATAAACATGATTAGGCTATGCTATGTTTTCTGATCTTATGCACTTTGCAATTTATATAAATACTATCCATTTATTTAATTATACTTTTTTAAATTGTTTTTTTCCTTAGGGGCAGGGGGGTTACCATTCACAGTTTATGTGATTATCTTATTAGGCACATTTGTAACACCAGTACATTTCACCATGGGCTGTCATCACTTGAGATTATTCAGTATTTGCATAATGACAATAATAAAATGTATGATTTATTTTTGGAAGATCATAAGCCAAACTACACTTTGAGTCAGATGCATGCCAAAGGGTCTCTTATTTGACACATGATTTGCATGTTTATGTGAAGATACATATATTTTTGAATAAGTTTATGATATTTTGATGTGTTGAGTATGTTCTATATGGTTTGCTATTTGGCTCCGAGGTCCCACACGCTGGGTCTAGTTCCATCTGCTGGCGGGAGGTCGCCAGGCTGGATCCCCTATATAGGAGGATTGAGTGGTACGTTTGTTGTGGTTTTGTGCATGCGCGTGTTTTCCGCAAAATATGCGCGATTTACCAGTCTGACGCTGCCATTGACGTCATGACGCAATTGCGGGCATATGCAATGGCGTCCCGGGGATATACAAGTGGTTCAATAGGGTGCCATTTTATGGATTACTGATTCTGAACAGTATAGTTTGCACAGCGCTTTACAATATAAGGAAGACATTACAGTCACAATACAATTTAAGACAAGATGGTAAGGGATGTATTTTAGATTGTAGGCCCTCATCTGTATGTGCCCCCCC